CTCAAGCTGGACCGCCTCCAGCTCCGCTACCAATCTCATTGTAGAAGGTGAACAGCACGCTAAGTCCGCACCTTTATCTCGCACACGAAGGTCGTGAGGTTTGTGGGTCGTGCCACGTTTCAGTAGCTCAAGGGCCCTAAATGGCCACACATGTACACATTCATGAAAGAAACATGCCGCATTTCGTGTTGTGTGATACGGCACTCAGACCCAGAAGTGAGTCGCAGTTAGTTTGCTTTTGCCGTCGATTTCGATCCGTTTTCAACACTATCCATTTCGACGCCATTCACAGGCGCTTTAAATCTCGAACAGTTTGATCTACTGAGGCTACCCTTCCATCCACACTGATGATGAGCAAGCTGACGAGGCGGGGTTTGCTTTCTCGTCAACAACTACTTCATAGCTCTTTTAAAATACATATTCTTCACAGGGAGAGGGATAGATATACATATACAGTGAAGTTGAAGAAGACTGAGTTGCTAGAACGTGCCTGGGTGACATTCCACAATTGTGTGAACCACGTACAAGTCCGACTGTACTTACAGTACTGCCTGTGACTACCTCTTCTCACTGCTAACTTTGATGAAGCCCTAGTAACATCATGTATATAACATCTACTAACCCTAGTAGATCCTAGTAGATTCTGGAGGAGGAGTGACCTGGAGGTTCTTTTTGAGAGCTGGCCACTGTGAGCGTGCGCTTTTTTAAGGGGTTCATTTATATTTTGGTAAGCCCTTATAATGCTAAACATATCAAAATGAAAACTGGTGCTTACAGGCTGTAAAATTGGTGCATTTCCTGGTGTGTGGTCTGGTGTGTGGCAATGTTTGTCAATTGTGTATGGTTTTATATTTATCAAGGTCGACATAAAAAGTTGTGCAAACCTGGGTGTTGAGACGAATGTGGCTTCATTGAATGGTGAAAGGGCGGTGCTAAACCTGGTGTTGAAATGGATGTTGATGAATTGAATGGTCAAAAGATTGCGCAAAAACTGGTGTTGAAACAGAAGGGGCTTCATTGCATGGTCCAAGGAGGTGTAAAACTTAGTGTCGATAGTGTCGAAACAACCGTGGAGTCCCAAATCAAAGCACCAGAGATGAAATACAAGATAAATAGTAGATCAGCGCTTTGAGATGCGCTATGCTTTTTCCAGATTTGCAGTGAATGCTTGGACCGCTGCCCGGCAGGCTTGTCTTCATACACGCGCAGAAGATTTAAAGTCAAAGTCAAATGATGTGTTCCCACATGCATGTGCCGGACAAATGTTCCGGTTTTAGTGATATGATATGATATGTATGATAAGATACGTTGTACTGTGTACGGTACCAGAAAAATCTTGCCCGAACTTGCTTCCGCTTGACGCATTAGCAACGCCTGCCATGTTGGCAAATTTATATCGGCGGCAGAGTCATGACCGATCCAGAAGCCCCAGCAGCTCTCGAAGAGGTCGGGAAGAGGTCGGGAAGAGGTCGGGAATAGGTCGGGAAGAGGTCGGGAAGAGGTTGGGAAGAGGTCGGGAAGAGGTCGGGAAGAGGTCGGGAAGAGGTCGGG